GAAGTTTGACTCTCACTGGAGAGCTGCTCCACTGCCAACTCCACACCAACCACGGTGCCAGGCTGAGCTTCTGCTGCTAAAACATGGAACCAGTGCCGACTGACAGACTTCATGCTACATTATGAAAACAAACAGAAAAACAAAGCAAAATCTTCCAATTGTTTTATTTTTTATATTTTGTGTTGGTCCTTATTAGGACCACAGAACGGTTTAAATAAATACAATCAGAAATGCAAGAACCTTCATGTAAGAAAACTATACCTATCACTGTTACGTGAATATTCATGAAATTGAGCAAATATTGCAGAAAACATGTGGCATTGTCTCTGCTTTATCCTGTGAGTTTTCAATATTTGTCATTGGTTTGGAAATGTACAGTAAGTTAAGGTAAGGGTGTATATTCTCTACAGAATACACACAAGGAATACTGTTTACATAATCATAGTCAAAATTGGCTAGACAAATCGCTAATATGAGATGACAATTTAAAAACATGTTTTTATTGAATGTGTTCATAATCAATAGGTTCTGTAGCTGGGAGGGTCAATAACTTATGTAGATATCAAGATGCAATTAGCCAAAATCAAAACAAATGATAATTTGCATAGATAATTGTAAAAAGGTGCTGAATTTTTTAAAGAAATAATAATAATCTGGATACCTTTTACATAATGAAATAGAAAAAAAGTTGGGAACTGCAAACAATTTCTAGATTTGTTTTTATTTTTCCATAAAAATCCAGACTTGAAAACTGTCTACATCAAAATCCATAACGTTTAAAGACTTTTCAAGAAAGAGTTGGGACCTTAAGTGTACAGTCCAACTCAAAGAATATGCTCCAATTTTAAATAAAATGGATTTCCATACGAACAAATAACTTTTGAACCATTCAAATGTTCGTTTATTAGCCTCCTGACATAAAGTCAAAGGGACAGTTTTCAGTTGCCTGAGCAGGTTGCATCAGCCCTGGTGAGCTGACCTCAACACCACTGGCAAAGAAAGTCCAGCATGCTGCCCCCCCTCTAACTCCATCTAATCTCCTTCTCTTCCCATCTTCCTTCTTTGAGCCTAATTTTGAGCCTGTAGCTACTGTGTGTCTTCTCTTACTGCCAAGTTCACTCAACTGCAAACAGTGAACAAGTCATTTTAAGAGGCGTAGTCACTCCCCCGGCCGTGTGAAAAGGGGTCATTGTGCCACACCAGACTGACTGTAAAGCTTTCCTTTCCTTCTTCTGCCTCCTCCCTGTGCTCTAACACAGATGGAAATGTTGAATCACATTTTTAGGACAGAAAAGTTCAAATGCACAGAGCTCATTCATCTAAGAAAAACAAAAGAAAGCCTCAGTGTAACTCACAGGATACTATCTTTAAAATCAAATTAGGAATGCATTTATAAAATGCAGGATGACACGGATAGTGAAATCAGATTTAGTCTGCAATAGATGCCATTGTCTTTAGCTCATACTTCAAAACTGCATCTACCACCACAAATCTCTCCTTTTTAAGTTGATTCAGGTAAAAATAATAATAAAATATTACTTAGGCTATTATTTTAAGAAGGTGATGTTATGAAAGATAAAGGGAAGATGAAAAACTCTTACATTTTATTGCTTGAGAAAAAAAGGTGAGTGGGTGTTTGGACATCTGTCTGGTAACAAAAAGCAGCCTCATAAAAACAGCTACGCCTATTGCTTGGCAGCCATAGTCATTTTGTGAATCAGCAGACAACAGTCAGATGACACCATTAATTAATTAGCAAACATCACTTTGCATGGATCAACATGACTTTATAAAGTAGAAGACAACTAAACACAGGGTATTCTGCTTAATTAAGAAGTTAACTTTAAAACTATTACTGAACTTAGCATTGGTTATTCTAAATTTCTTTAGGTTTTCCACCAATGGGCATATCTCTAAAAAAATGAATAAAATATCCTGTAGACTGCTGACTAGCCATTTTAGAAATTATATTTTAAGATTAAAGTCAAAATGGTGAGAAAATTTATATTCTGCTTTTTGATTTAAGTCCAAATATGAGAATAAACTGAAAAAAAGACATCTCAAAGGCAGGGCAGATTGTGAAAACTACCATATTTGTTTCATGCAAGTTCACTAGGCGCACACTAATGTTTGTCAAAGAGAAACGTTGACAAAAAAGACACGATTGTCTCAAATTTTAGCAATAATTTCTTTTTCATATCATTTTGACTTCTCTCTCCCTGATCATTTATACATTTTTCTTTTATAATTTCAATTTATGAAACAACAAATCTGACAAGTCTACTTATAATTGCTTCATCTTTAAAAACACATTCCATTTGCAATGAAGCATCACCCTCATAGCAGGGATGATCAGAGAATGATAGTATCCTCTGTGTATGCTGTCCTCTAAAGCCAAAGTAGTCTTGAGACGTATGAAATATCAAGAATGTGTAACTTTGTGTATGCCTCAGCCTGAGTTTGTGTGTTTATTACACAACGGGAGGGTTCTTCCCATCTGCGCCTCTCTGCAGCACCCCACATCCCGGACCGCTGAAGCGAGAAACGACAGCTTTGCCTCGCACTCTGCCTCCCTCAGTCTTCCTCACAGCACTGTCCCACTATTTATTAGCATCATCCCCTGCCCACAAAACATACACTCTCTTCACCCTTCTTTCTGTATTATCAACATTATCTGCAAACATAAAAATACACATCAAATTGTTCAGCTCTTATTGTGGTCATCCAGCCTGCTACTCACTTCTGCTTAATTCGTGTAGAAAACATGATCAGTCTGCAGGGCATTAAATATTTTTACATCTTGAGCTCAAATTTATGATAATCTCACAAATGACTCACTGTCTGCAACACATCCCCACCTCCTCCTCCTCTCCTGCCCAAAATCCATCTCCATCCTTGCCTTACAGCTTGTCAAACGTCCCACTGGGCTCATCATTGTGGAATATGTTAAAACAAAGAGGGCAGATAGTGCTGTGATAATCCTAAACACAGCAGCTGGAGAATTAGCCAGCCATTTGCTGGAGACAGACTTTCTGGGCTTTTGCAGCTACCTTTAACAACCCTAATTGTGTTTGTGGCGTGTAATGTCTTTTGCTATTGTGCTAAAATATTGATGGGATTTGCCTTTTAATTGACATGATGCAAGATGTTTTTTGCTTTCAATGCAACAGTGTTGCCTTGATAATCGCATCCTGTTTGGAAAGGCATTTAGCTAATTCCACCAGGGTTCCCAATTCTTTTCAGATAAATGAATTATAGATGCAGTGAGACCTGTGAGCAAAGAGGACTGCAGATGCTAATGCTATTAAGAGTGACAGTAACATGTTGGGAACTGAATCCTGTGTTGCAGCAGCTTAAAAGTCATTTGTGATGAATGCAATGACTTGGTGAAGCAGCAGCTTAAGACAATCTTTACTTTCAATGCTTTCCTTCTTTTGCAGCTCACCCTGGTTGCAGGCATGTGATGCCTGTCTGGTCAAACAGGGCGCCAGTCCAAGCCTCCTATAATACATCAGCGACTCAAAATACTATTCACTTCCACAGCCGAATCCCACTGACAAGCAACTCACCAAAATGTGCATGGCTTCTAGTAACCGCACCTTAGTAAACAACATTCCAAGTTTTAAAATTATACCAAATATTTGAGCCAACAGAGGAGTGTTTGCTTTCAGCTCTTACGACCTGGCATAGCTTGTATAATGGAAACTTTCTGAACAAATTACAGCAAACCAAGTTCTGGAAGCCCAGTTACCCAGATAGTCCATGACTTTATTTCTAAGCACCACATCCTTTTAGCTGTGTAATTCCAAAATCTCAAGGTTAGCAACTGTGTGCAGGCATATTACTATGTGGAAGCATAAAGGCACTAAAACCAGATGTTTACATACGGTATATTGACAAAACCCTTTAGTGCTATTCCTGTCTGAATTTAGATCACATTAGCCTTTTCCTGTTTATATTAGTCAGGATAACTACAATTCTTTCTATTTGTATTCAAAGATAAACCAGACAGTTCTGCTCCTGATAAAGAAACTGATATTTTTTTACTTTTTCATTATGTCACATGAGGAAGCATTGTGATTAGGGTGGCTTAAAGTAAATCCATAGGACAGTTTGCAATCAAAAGAGTACAAAGTCAAAGGCATAATAAACTTTCATGTATGTTTCAGAGTTTGGAGAAAGTATTAATCATCTGTAAAAAAAATAAAAAATAAATATAAGATTTCTAATTTTCTGCCATTTAACAAATAGAACAAATGTAGGTAATCCTAACTGATCTAAAAAAGGAAATATCAGCCTAATATAAGGTCAGGCTGTGAAACAAAAAGGCATATTTAAACAATGGTAGTAACTGTAAATATCAGTGAAGACATGTTTGTAGTTCAGGAAAAAGTCACCTTGCATCTCTTTTTTTGGGAGAATGAGAAAGAAAGAGAAAAAGCCAGGCAGGCAGGAAGACACCTGCTATTCAAATTACATACAAGAGCCAAAGGAGTTGCCTGAGAAAGGCTAGACTTTTAGTTTTTATCCTGACTGGCCACATTCATTGTTCACCCACCCGACTGACATTCCAAGAATGAGCAGAGGTGGATCTTTCATCTGGCTCCCACGCAAGGCCATCCAAAGGACGCACATTTTGGCATATATGACTGCACACACCAGTCCAACTAACATTATCAATCAATGATGCATTTATCCAACATGTGGTTTTAAGAGGAAAGATATATTATACAAAGCAATATCAGTGCCAAGATTAATTAAGCATGACTAACTTCAGCATAACAAAGATTAGAGATAGTAAGGGAGTGTGCTGCGGTGGCGCATGGGTTTAGCACAACCCACATATGGAGGCCTTATTCCTCAACGTGGCTGGCAATCTTTGCTACATGCCTTTCCCTTCTCTCATTACCCACTCTCCTGTCAATTAACTATCAAATAAAGGCCATAGAGCCAAAAAAATCTTTTTTAAAAAAAGATTGGAGATAGTCATTTTTACTTACCTAAGTGGTCTCCATGAAAACTGTTGTCATGGGATGTTCTACCATGGGGCAGGAGGTCATGGTGGACAGGAGGGGGCCAGATTTGACCTGTCTTGCGAACACTCACAATAGTTGCCTCAGACATGACCACATGGCCTCCCTGCTGCCTGTGGTGACGCTTCTGAGACTGCGGCGTAGGAGGGCTGCTGCTGTCATAGGAGTGTTGGGAGTTCTGGGAGTTTTGGGAAGGTGACCTGCTCTTCTCTCTGAAGGGACGACGGAAGGCTGTGGTGGGACTCGGAGAGACGTGACTAGACTGGCCAGAGGAGAAGTCCTCCTCACTGGATGTCAGGTTCTCGTTGGAGCTACAGTCCGGTGTGTAGCCACCACCCCCTCCAGCATCCTCAAAGCTACCTGGGGAGTAGGAGCGGCGTGGCCAGGTCAAGAGGTGATCATCACCTCCGCTGTGGTCTCTCATTGTGATTCCAATGCCACCTCCACGTCCATCCCCACTGCCACCTTCACCCATCATTACTCCACCAACATAGACGCTGGAGTAGGCTTGGAACTCAGATGGTTGCCAAGGAGGTGGTGGAGGTTTACCCCCGTTGGCCCTCCCTGAATGTCGCTGGTTGGGTTCTCCGTCTTCGTATTCTGCGTCATAGCCACAGGTGCTCTCAGTAGACCGTCCTCTATACACCGGCCTGGCACGAAGTTCACCTGCCACTGTTGCCAGATTGCCTGGAAGGGAATGAAGAGACCTCTTTCGCTCCATCTGCATGGCCTGAGAACCCAGGGAGCTGATTTTATCCGACACATCCCGGTCGTTGACCCTGACCAAACCCCTCTCATGATGGAATTCCATGTTAGTGTAGAATGGTGGTGGTGGTGGGAGCTGCTTTTCCTGACCCTTACCTACATCTCCAGCAGAGTGAGAGTTGGCCCGTTTGATCCTCTCAAAATTGGACCTGAGAGCTGCTACACCAAGTCCCATCCCAAGCTTATCTTTGGGGTCAGAAGGCAGATCCTTATCTGGGGGTGGAAGTGTGGGCCTGCGGGGGGACAGGGTGATGCCACCCCTCTGCTTAGATGGCGAGAGGCCATCGAGGTTGTCGCAGGACGTAGACTCTGCTTGTTGGGGTGAGTCAAACGCTGACTCCAAGCCGTCTCCATGGGAAGCTGACTTCCTGGCTGGTGGCGGCCTCGGTTTGGACCTGCCAGTACCATCCCCAAGTGGCTGAAAACGACTCCTATCCACCACAGCGTATCCTCCAGCACCTCCAACTCCACCAGTCTCCTGCATGTGGGGCTGCTGAGACGGTGACTCTGAACCCTGGGTGGCTGCAGGGTCTACCCCCTCATTCAATGGTGTCTTCCTGAAACCCCACCGCTGTTTGTCATAGCTCTTCCTCTCTTTTGCCAGGAGGGTTTGCAGGTAGATCATGCGGAAGCGCTCCTTGTTCACCTCCTGTTCGAGGCGTCTGATGGACGCTTTGCACTTCTCCAGCTCCTGCTCAATACCTCCAATGGACCGCAGCTCCATCTTTGGGGGCTCCGAATCAGGGAATTGTGCCTTCCAAGCCTCTATGAATCCAACGGGCTCCACCATATTGTGCTTGATTTATTTTCTGTGACGGACCCTAGTTCAGACACAAGGAGGGGGTTGGTGTGATGCCAAGGGCGCACCGTTTGACCCCTCTGAGTCCAGTACGCCACAGTTGCTTTTTTTTTTTTTTTTTCTTTTTACAGACAACAATGGCGACGTCCAATTAAAAAAAGATGGGGGGAACTGTTTCTTGTAAGCTTTTAGGAAACTCGTGCACAACACACAGCCTAATTGCTGGTACTTGCCGAAGGTTGCGCAGTCGCATCCTGAACAAGAGAAACCGGCTGCTCATTCAGGATAAAACCGGGAATGCGCAGTGGATCAAAAGGGAATAAAAATCTATAGAGATAATAGAGTTTCTTGTGCATTATTCCGGCAAAAGTAGAGTTTTAAAATAGAGTGAATCGAAGTCGTTTCGAGACAATGACGGTATGTCTTCGCTGGGTGACGGATGGGGGTATCAGAGGGGAATTTACAGGGGCACAAAAAGAAGAAAGTGATTTAATCCTGCTCCTGTTACTCACTGTCACGGCTTCTCATTCCATCGTTTTAGATGCAACTGATCTGTTCACTCTTGTGGACTGACTGTAATCCCAGGTGCAGATCCTTAGAATAAGCGTCTTTGTGCCAGCAGTGCAGGGGGGGGAGAATGGATTGGGGAAAAAAGCGCAAAAAAAAAAAAAGGAAACAAAAGCGAGAGGCCACAACAGCAGAGGTTTAATTACTGATTCAAGCGGTTGGGTACAGCGTCACTAAAAAACAGGATTTCCTTTCCCCAAATCCTCCATAGCGCACCTGCTTGGTATTGTTGGTTTGCATGTCCCCTTCCTTAGATTCATCCCGTGTCTTCCGACGTGATGGTGCTGCTGCTGCTGCTGCTGTTATATGCTCCCATCTCCGACCAGTAAAACCGAGGGGCTCCAAGAATGGGAGGGACCAGGAGAACTATGAGTCAACTAGTTAAAGGACAGAGCAGGAAAACTGGCTCTCCTCAATTGACTGCTGAATGTCCATTATTTTTTGGAGATACTTCTCTAAAAACATGAGGCTTCTTTTTCTGTTTAATTTTTCACCGACTTTCTAATCTCAGCATCAATTCGTACATCCAATGGGAACTAAGGGGTTAAACACGCGGCTGCTTTTAATCTCAACCCTCCCAGGTTAATTTTGACATATTAATTTGCATTAATATATTTTACTACCTATGGGTAGTTTAAAGACTGTAGTTGTGCCTGCTGAGTGAGCGCGATAGCGGTAGAGCTTGAACCGTAGCTTATCAGCGCCCCCTGGTGGGGCACATATTTATTCCATCACACTCTCTGGTCCATGTGAATCTTTAGTGTGGAAATTTGTAATGCCTCATCCTGATTTTCAAAGACGTAAATATGAGATTAGGATTCATAATTTAAAAATGTTGTTTGATTTTTTTTTTTTGAAGCAAACATTTCAACTTTGAGATAAAGTAATGACTGAATGTGTCAGGATTATTTCTAAATTAAAATTGCAACTTTAAATCTTAAAATTATTTTAGACTTTGAACTCATTGATAATGTGCAAGAATTAGCCACTCAGTTGTAATTTGAGATATTTAAAAACAAATATTCATTGAATAGTTTCATCAAAAGTCATTTCAGACTTCCTTCCTCTAAATTTATAACTTTGTAGAAAACCACAATTACAATAGTAGCGCTTAAGACCTACTAATTATTTTGTTGTACATGCTCGAGTAGAATGGCTATGTCAGAAGGGTAGAATTTCCCACATTTCAATGTCCACTTAACTACCAGGACTGATTAAGTTATTCCTATTGTTATATTGCAAATCAATAACGTTTTTCAAGGTAGGAGCACACAAAGTTTTTCAACTATTCCACATTTTCAAATTTCAAGGCTCACTTACATAGGTGTTTTCTGAGTTTTGAATATGAGATTGTTATGAAATTTAATTTTGCATTTTTTCATTTGGTTTTAGGTCCTTATGCCAGGATGAACCCTCATTTACCCTCCTCAAATATTTACTGTTTATTTCACATCAAACCTACCAGTTGGTAAGTCACAACCAAAGCTGTTACAATTTAAGTGTTTTTGATGGCAAAATTGGAAAAAGTATCAGTGATTTCATTTTATAAATCATGAATTTACACAAATTAAAGGTTCAACACTTCCAATATGTTTCAGTGTGAGTTGTGACAAGTCAATAAATTTACTGGAAATCTGTTCCCACAGGTGCCACAAATGTGTCCGTTTCCCCCTTAAAAATATGGCATTGGCAACATAAAAATAAAGACAAGGAATCAAATACTAGATTATTTTATTTACCTGAAATCACAACCTCAGTAATGTATTGACTGTACAATCATTATCAGCCTTCAGTAATGATTGACGTTTACATATGGTTAATATTGTTCTTCAACCAGGTGTCAGGAGGAGGCCATACAGGGTTCCTCACATTAAATCACAGTTTTACAGCAGTTGATAAAGATAGATAATTATAGGAATGTCAAGGCAATAAGAAAAATCAAACGAGCTGTATTGCAGGTTCACTGTGAAATGAACGACAGTCTGCTAACCTAGATTCTATTGGCTAATTGATGAAATTAACTGGCAGAGTGAGTGGTATTCCCACATTAAGTGATGGGATAGAAAAAAAAGATATTTACAAAAAATGCAAAGGTTAAGCACAGTCAAGTTCAGCATGAATTGGGTATTCATGTCCAACATTGTGCAAATCACCCAAACCATTACAATAAAAAGTGATTTTACAACTTTTATCTTTCTTAAAACGCTTTGTCATTAGAGTATTATACATTAGAATCTATAAATACAAATTTGTAAAGCCTACATACAGCTGAAACACATGCATGAATGTTTTTTACACTGATGTACAGCTAAGACCATTCAACCCACTTTTTCTGCAAAGTGATCAATGTGACTGACGAGCTACTGATGGAAGAACTTCTTCATGCAAGGAGGATTCAGGAGGGGAGTGTTTCAGGACATCCCTGCACATAAAGCTGGATTATCGTCCTAATTTAGCATTTGCACACAAAGGAATGTGTGACTCACTGCGGGAATTTTATGTGTTAGAAGTTAGAGGAAATAGGGACAACTAGCAGGATAACTGTATGCATTCTGAAAACATGTTCTTTTCACCCGTGTGTGTGTGTGCGCTGCTGGTCATCACGGTGTCTGCAGTGAGGGAAATTATGCGTGAGCGCACACTTTGTGGAAAGACGATTCCCAACTTCTTATTCTGCTCTGATTGCCAAAAGCTTTCATGAGAACTGACCTAGAAAGAAACAAGAGAAACAGTTAGTGTGTCAAGCCTGAATGAATATCCAACATTTTACTTTGTGAATATAAGCAAGTGTCCAGAGGTGAAAAGTACAGCACACAGTGAGGTTCACAAAGTGATATGTGGTGAAATGATGGCATGATTATTTTCTTGCATATGTATGTTTACATATGAAGATATCCCAGCTTAAATTACATCTAAATGAGAAAATCCTGAAATAATTCAACAAGACAGTGTGTGGTGATGTACAGAGCCTTGGAAGTTCTTACACACCTTGAACTTTTGACATTTTATTATGTTACAATCAAACCTCAATGTATTTTTATTGGGATTTAATGTGATGCAGCTACTCGAACAAACAAAGTGGAAGGGAAACTATAGTGTTAAAATATGTGGCATGCGTTTATCCTTGCCACTCTTTATTCTGATATCCGTTAATAGCAGCTAGAGCAGGAAATTGTGTCCAAATGTCACCCAGTTATCACATAAACTTAAACTCTGAGCAATTCAATCTCAGTACAAGTGCAACAAGCAGGATAACTGTATGCATTCTGAAAACATTTCTTTTCACCCGTATGTGTGTGTGTGTGCTGCAGTGTCTCAGTGAGGGAGACACCGTTTTGTGAAACCTCTGACATTAGATGACAGGTTTAGTCAGACAAAGCCAAGATGGACATTTTTAGAAAACCAACACTGGATAGGCATCGGAGCCCTGATCCCTCAGAAGACAACCAAGGAACGCTCTTGGCCGCTCAGGGATGAAACTAAGAATTGCTCTATAAGATATCAATATTGGATCTCACTTTCTCCCACTTTACATGTATGTGCTTTGTGTTGGTCTTTCAAATAAAATCCAAATAAAATACAGTAGTGCTGTAGTTGTAACATGCTAAATATGGAAGTTCCAGGGGTTTGAGTACTTTTGAAGGCTCAGTATGTAGTTGATGAAAGAAATGGATACTCACTCTAATGACAGGGAGCCAATGGAAGGCATTGAAGAAAATAAAGCACACATTTGTTAAGACAAACACAGGCAGTGAGAACAACCAAGTTTCTACCTAAAAACATGCTTTAGTTGAGTTTTTCACACATGGAAAATATCCACAAATGCAAATTACTGAAGGATCTGATCCAACATCTGTACTCAGAAAAACTAAAGTATTCGTTTTTCCTAAATTATTGTTATAGTAATATATGCACATACAAAAACACTGGATATGAAATGTAATAACCATGAGCCTCAAACATAAATAAAGACAGAAAACACTTGATTCAAAGGGTTCATTGTGAGTGTATTTTTTTCTTTTTTATAGAAAAAAAAAACAACATTTAGGGTTTTGATCTGCAATCAATGTTCTTTTGGAGAACTTGTATTAGACTTGTGGGATAATATTTTTTGATGTCCTTTGAATCAAACACTATGGAAATGTTAAGACAACATAAAGCATCCCCACCCAGTTCTGTCTCCACAACAAATTAAGTTAAAGAATGTCACAATCAATACAAATAAGACACATCCTTAAAAAAAAGTTAAAGGGGAAGGAAGATGTTCTTTGTTTTCTGCACAAGTAAGTAGGGGGCACACCTCAGATGTTATCTTTTAGCAAGACGTGTCGAGGGAAAGCATCTCGAGATGAGCAAAACAATTTTTTAAAAAAAGCATTTTTCATCATACTGAGGTAGCTGTGCTCTGCCGAGTGCAGAAAAACCGACTTCATTTTTAATCAATATCGTAAAAAAAATAAAATAAAATAAAAAATCCACAAAGCTATTTAAGTTTTAACAAGGTGGGGTGGGCGTACACATTTAAATTTGAAATGAGAAACCACATAGAGTTCATGCTTGGTCACAGGACATGCAGCATTTTTGTTTCTCAGGATTATATTTTTCCTTTTTGTTTAAGCCGAGCATCCCAAACCTTTCCCTCGTTTCTTGTCTGCCGAATGGAGCTTGTCCTCTCAGAGTTTTGAATTTATACTGAAGACACAATGGTTAACAGAAAGTAAATCAAGGCGGTTTTTCTAAGCCACGCTGGTTAAACAATTTACAAAGCCATTTAAAAAAAATTGCATAAAATAGTGTTCAATCTCTGTACAGATAAACTGATTTTATATCTTTACTTTTTAACGTGTTCAGCAGAAGGGGAGCCTAAACAAAATTCTCTAACAGTAGTGACGTAGGGCAGAGTACAGATAATCCTAACATTTAAAATCAATAATAAAAAAAGAAGAAAAAAAAAAAACTGGCAACACTATATTTACTCTTAAACCAGCAACAAAGTCCAACCCTACAGGAGTCACTTCAAAGCCTCAGCCATTCATAAGTCCTGACCCACCCTCAAACAGGCGACTTAAATTTTTACTTTTTTTTATATTATTTGTTGCGTTTTATGAGTTACAGTTGGTCCTTCTCGTGCACACAAGCTCACACGCGCACACGCAACTCTAACTCTACAAACGCACACGCATACACACGCGAGCTAGCTAGCTATGAACAATTAGGAAGGCAGAGAGAGAAGGGAAGGAAGAGGTGATGGCAGTGGTGAGGGGTGGAGTTGGGGGCTGAGGGAGGGTGGGGCGGGGAGGGGAATGGAAAAAAGTCGAAGTTGTGCTCAAGTCAGTCAGGACATGAACATGTCAGCCAGGTTAGTGTCAGAGCTGTAGATCCAGAGGACCAGAGGGAGGGAAATGGCCACGAAGGGCCAGGAGATGCCCTCCATACATGCAAACAGGCAGCAGCCTTTGGAGCTGGGGAGCTTCTCCAGCTCTCTGTTGCGCTCCAGGTAGTTCCTGGCAGCGAACTTCAGCAGCTCATCAAGCAGGATGACGGGCAGCGAAATCTTCAGCACCATTAGCCACTGGGTGAGGTTAAGAGGGGTGATCTGGAAGATGATCTGTAACAGAAAGAAAGAATGTAACAATAAATACACTGCTAGGGCTTTAAAACTGCCATGATACAACTATGTAAATTTCATACTGGAAGTGGCTCCACATAGAGGATGAGGAAGTGAAGGGACATGGAGAGACAGATGGCACCCAGCAGCCAAACGTTCTCCCAGGGAGGCATCCGCAGCAGCGACTGGTTCTCTGACACACTGAGACACAATAAGAAAACGAGATCTTTATTAAACACTTTAACTGGTTGGACAAGATTGTGTGCAATAAAAGCTTCATTCTCCTCATGAGATTTTCACACAGAACACAGAAACTCGCATCACAACAGTATTTGTACCCTTCAACACCAAACTTCAATGGACCTTATGAGACTTTTTGCAACAGATTTTTGCAACACAAAGTTTCAAGTTTGTAAACTTGAACCTTTTTACAAGTTGTAATTATATTCTGGCTATGTCAGAAGGGTAGAATTTCCCACATTTCAATGTCTACTTAAAGACCAGGACTGATTAAGTTATTTCTATTGTTATATTGTAAACCAATAACATTTTTCAGGGTAGGAGCACACACAGAGCTTTTCAACTATTCCACATTTTCAAATTTCAAGTACTCTTTTCTTAAGGCTCACTTACGTAGGTGTTTTCTGAGTTTTGAATATGAGATTGTTATGAAATTTAATTTTGCATTTTTTTATTTGGGCATTGAATCTTTGCTTCAATGCCCCCTAAATAAAATCTAATTTATTTTTAGTCCAAATACAACAGTTCTCTGAAGGCCCCTGAGGTTTGTTAGAGAATATTTATGGGTGAGATGAGGCCACAATGCACCTTTTAGCCAAAAATGCAAAACGTAACACCGTCTAAAAATGTACATTAAGTGTGAATGAATGTGAAGTTGTGAGCTAAATGCTAAAGTTTTTTATTTCATGCAGAAAACTTGTTTAAAGCTGAAAAACACAAAGACCCAAAAACACAAGCCAGAGATGAAGTAGAATAAAACTCATTGCAAATCTGTGGCAAAACTTGAAAATTTATGTTCAGAAACTCTCATACTTGAGCCACTATGGAGATAATTCCCCAAAGTCTCTACATTTCAGATTTAAAAAAAAGTTGCAAAACCATTTCCCCTTTTCTTCCCCTTCACAATGGTGTGCTCACTGTGGCTGGTTAACCTCATAAAATGGCATTAAAATAAACATATATCAGTAGTTTTAATGCAAATGTGTGGAAATGTTTAAAGGGTATGGATACTTTTGGACTGATCTGCTTTGAATAAGGTTAAATGTACACAAATCTTTAGAGAACGTAATTATGTCTGTCTGAATTCCTCATACCAACCTGTTGAGGGCATTGCACATCTCTATAGTAACCAACACCGACAGGGCCATGGTCATGGGGTAAGGGGACTCAAAAACCTTACAGTCCAGACCCTGGTAGTCTGGGTTCTCTGGGCCACATTGCAGGAAATGGCTCTGTAGGAGGTGATCGATGATGAAAGATTAGACTTTAGTAATGATAAATGAGGTGAACTGGAAAGCAAAGTGTTGACACCTACCAGCTGGTAAAAGGTGATCCTTGGTCCATCCTCAGCAGCAACAAACCACCAAGCAGCGGCGCCAACAGTAGCAGCTCCAACGTAACCTGTTAAGATGATACAAAAGAGCTGTTGAAAATATTTAAGGTAAACAGCAACAACAGGAAAGTGTTCCATCAAAATAAAGCATGGATTTGCTAAGGATTGACTTCCCATACAGTCCCAACTTACATCCAATGGCAAGGTATCTAAAGAAAAGCCATCCGGAGATGAGGGGCTCCCGAGCATTTCGTGGTGGTTTGCTCATGATGTCCAAGTCGGGGGGGTTGAATCCTAAGGCAGTGGCGGGCAACCCATCAGTCACCAGGTTGACCCAGAGGAGCTGAACTGGGATGAGCGCCTCGGGGAAACCCAGAGCTGCAGTCAGGAAGATGCTGCAACCACATCAAGATTCAGAGTTATACAAGAGAAAAAAATATATATTTTTAAATGGAGAATTGGGAGCACATTAACCCAGAATCCTTACCAGACAACTTCACCAACATTGGAGGAGATGAGGTATCTGATAAACTGCTTCATGTTGTTATAAATGGCTCTGCCTTCCTCGACTGCAGCTACGATGGTGGAAAAGTTATCATCAGCCAGCACCATCTCTGACGCCGTTTTGGCCACAGCTGTACCGGAGCCCATGGCAATGCCAATCTCAGCCTTCTTCAGAGCAGGGGCGTCATTCACTCCGTCACCGGTCTAAACCCAACACAAAACCAATCACGTCAACAAACATCTTCTTGATCTTTTTTTTTTTTTTCAGAAAACTGGAGGGGCAGCTCCTTCTTACCATAGCTGTGATCTCATCATAGGACTGCAGATACTCAACGATCTTGGATTTGTGTGCTGGCTCAACGCGAGCGAAGCAACGAGCCTTGACCACAGCATCTCTCTGTGCGGCAGGTGAGAGGTCATCAAACTCTCTGCCAGTGAAAGCCATGCTGGAAACATCATCCTCCTCCCCAAAGATGCCAATACGTCTGCAGATGGCTACTGCTGTACCTGAAATGTTCAGACACACAACGTTTAGTCAGTGAGACTTTACAAAAGTCAAACATTTCAGACGTTGCAGTTTTGTAATTTGTAGATTTTACCCTTGTTGTCTCCGGTGATCATGATTACTCTGATGCCTGCAAGACGGCAAAGCCTGATGGAAGCAGCCACCTCCGCTCTGGGTGGATCCAGCATGCCGACGCAGCCCACAAACGTCAAATCAGTCTGAAAAATTAACACAGATAAAACTTTACAAAAAAAATAAAATTAATAAAACACAAAATACAGATTATCTTCCCCTCTTACCTCATATTCCACAAAGCGAGAAGAGTCTTCCAATACAAGGTTCTCTTTGTTTACAGGGTTATCTCGCGTCGCCAGAGCCAGACAGCGCAGAGTGTCTCTGCCAGTCCCATACTCTCTGATCACAGACATGATCTTCTCCTTGATGCCAGGGGTCATTGGCACCTTGCTGCTGCCAACACGGATGTGTGTGCACCTGTCTATAACTCCCTCTGGCGCACCCTATGAGCAAAGATGGTTAAGATAGCAAAATGGACAAGAAATCACAGTTTGTTATGAGTAAAAGATGTCTATTTAATCATTTTAGGCATTTCCAGCATTCAGTCCTTTTTAATCATCTTTTAAAACTGGAATGTGAAAAAAATGCAAAAACTGCAAAAACACATTTGAATTTAAGGTAGATAATGAAGTTTTACAAATGTACTCTGCAAAATCTACAAACTGAAAAAAAGAATGAAGGCCAGATCACAGATGGTGGATAAATGAACACATGGTTAAATGTTTAACAGAAAAAAAGGGGCAAATGAATGAATAAAGATCATAAAGCTTATGAATGGGTGGAAGAAAAAAATGAATGGATGAATGAATAAGTTGATGGACAGATGAGATAAACAAAAAAAAACAGCTGGGACAGATGATAGATCCAGGACAAATGGGCTGATTGATGGGTTGACAGAACTAAAGAATGGATGAAAGAAAAGCACAACAGATGGACTGATGATGGACAGATACTGGACAAGTGGATGGATGAAGTGATGCATGAACAAACGAATCGACAACAAAATGGGCCAACAAATGAGTGGATGGACTGATGAATGGACAGACGCTTGAATTTACACATTCAAAGTATAAGCAAGGGAATGCATTTTGAAAATATTTTTTTTTCTAAATTGGATTTCATTTTCTCACACAAATTCCGCCCTTGTAAATACTCATCAGCACGTTTGTCCCAGGAAACATAGAAATTACAGCTTCAGTAAGGGAAGTTTTTACCTTCACAAACATCTTGCCAACAGAGGACCGTGCTTTATTTGGAGTGCAGTATACAGACATAGACTTCCTGTCTCTGGAAAATTCCAAAGTGAATTCCTTCTTCATGAGCTGTTTGATCACCTGCAATAAAACAAAAGACCAGTATGAGAATTTGGGGGTTTAAATTTAAACCATTACAAAAAATAACAATAGATACAGGGTTACAGGTTACGTACAGAGTTGCAGGCATTGGCTCGCTCGACCTTGGACAGGTTTTTAATGTCTGTATCAAACACGTTCATTTTCTCCACCAGACATGTCAGCGCCGTTTCTGTGGCCTCTCCTACCTTCTCATAAACACCTTTGGTCTGGACAGAACAAACATTGATGAGCAATAAACCATTTAATAAAAAAACCAGAAAAATATTCAAGACAATCACCAACCTCATTATAATCCAGTGATGAGTCATTACAGAGAGCACAGATAGTGGCCAGCTCAACCAAGGCATCATACTGGGAACATTTTACTGATTTGCCATTATGAAAGCTAAAGAAATGAGACAACCACAAAAAAGTAAGGGAAAGTACTAGACATGATAGCTGAAGATACACCTATTTGAGCTCAGACATTTAAAAGGCACTGAATACTCACACTTCTCCATCTGGAGCATATGTGGAGCCCGTAACAGTGAATTCCTTTAACGGACAGTGATCCCCCTCGGTTTTATCAATAATAAACATCTGGAACACAAAGAAACAAACCATTTTTTTGTTGAAAACGGATTGAAAAATTAGGTTGACACAAAAATGCTTAATATTTTACCTATTCCACCCTAAAATGTCAAGGCAGGTGTAAAAAGTGTTTAAAAAACAATTCTAATCTTAGTCCACCAGGTGGCAGTCTGTTACAACACTGAACAGTGTAAAAAAAATAAATAAAAAAAAATCAGTAAAATCTTGATTAAAAGCATATAAAGAACACTGTGGTGGGTCAGGTCTATAAATGTCATCTTACAGGAACATGAGTACAATCTTCTTAGTTGCATTCAGGTCCAAGGATAAACAGTAGAAATCTATAATCCCCTTAGGGGAAACAATTAAATAGAACCTTTATAAAGATCTGCTTAAATCCACAAACAGAGCATGCTAGGTCTTTTTGGAAAAGATTTATCTTTCTATTTATTCCTTTCATATATATATATATATATATATATATATATATATATATATATATATATATATATATATATATATATATATATATATTTATATATATATATATATATATATGTATAAAAAATTATATATATATATAAAAAAATTCCCTTCCACCCGCGGTGGGTGAGAAGGGAATTTTTTTTATATATATATATAAAACCATTATTTTAAGGGATTCTGGAACTGTTTGAACCTGAAGTACTTCAAGCTACAGCCTCTTATCCAGCAGACTGGAGTCAAATAAGTGGTTCTAATAACTGCAATTGAAAGAGAATAGAGATGAAAACCAAAATATTCATTTAAAATGATGTGAAGGTTTTATGTGAGGACTACTGACTTGAGAGAGATGCAGATATTGAAGCAAGGCAGAAAGAGACACAAGGTCAGTTATGCAACTCAACTGGTTTATGCTGCTGACTAACTACTGCATGCTGATCAGGATTCTGCTGGAGCGGAGGAGCGGCAGCAGAAAAACGCATCCAGAAATATAGAAGGGTTGAAATGGAGAACTGTGCACTTAGCTAAGCAACAACCAACAAGATGAAACAAACAGATATGCTATGAATATATTTATGCTAATAACACAGGATGGAGGAAAGGAAAACATCTCATGTTGTTTCCACTCAAATACTTTAATGTGTATTTGGTCTTTCAGCCTGAGCGATGCATAGTGTGTTGCTAACTCCATGCGGACGCTTACAGACAAACCATGCCTGCGACACATCACCACTTGTACAAAAGGGTGTTCAGTTGTGGTGCTATGTTTGTTTGTTTTTTTTACAAACTTTGCAACGCTATACTTTCACATAACCAGCCTGAACTTGGTGAAATTAAATAGGGTTCTTTTTAGGGTCAAACAAATGCTGTAAACTGATTTTTTTGATGAATTTTAGCTACTCTGTGAAGAAAAGATGCCCACTTTCTTCACAAACATAAGAACATTGCTGCTGGTATGCTTATGGTCCAGGCTGCTACACACATCTGTTTTTGTATGGACAGGTTATAAGAATGTATCCTACTGTCCCCCTTTTTAACTTCACTATAACATTTTACTTTTTATATTCACTGTGGTTGTGTGGCAGAGTTGTCGTCTTGCAATCGGAAGGTTGTAGGTTCGATTCCAGCTTCCTCCTGCCATATGTCGATGTGCCTCTGGGCAAGGCACTTAACCCCAAATTGCCTACCGGTCTGCGTATCGGTGTATGAATGTGTGTGTGAATGGGTGAATGTGACTCTAGTGTAAAGCGCTTTGAGTGGTCAAAATGACTGGAAAAGCGCTATATAAGTTCGGTCCATTTACCATTTATATTGATCAAAAGTAAGTTTCTCGCAGCCCACTATACAGATAAGCAGAGCTAAAGTAAAGGTTAAATATTAATTCTCATATGATAAATTTTGCCTGCTAATGTGCTGAAATGTAATCAAAATTTTTGAACTAACTGACTGACTGACACTGTTCAGCATTTGTCCAATTTCTTGTTTGCTGGTGCCTGTCAAGCAGACTCCTGACAATGGTGAGCAGTAAAACTGTAAAACCCACCAAGGACTTTCCTCTCTTCTGAAAAACTAGAGCTCTTACCCGACAGACAGACATCTGATTGGTGGTCAGTGTCCCAGTTTTGTCAGAGCAGATGACAGATGTACAGCCGAGGGTCTCCACGGAGGGCAAACTGCGGACAATAGCATTCTTCTTGGCCATGCGGCGCGTTCCCAAAGCCAGACAGGTAGTGATGACAGCAGGCAGACCTAGAGAGGTTACAGCAGGTGGGTTCAGGGGAAGAGTGTAATTTAGCTTAAAGTGAGAAAAATATCTCACTCTAGAAAAGAATGAGACATTTATTGCTCTATTTTGTATGGCTAAAGAACAAAAATAATTCCAGATATGCTGTATTATCTGTGTGACCCAGCTTACCCTCAGGAATAGCAGCGACTGCCAGAGCCACCGCAATCTTGAAATAATAGACTGCACCTCGGATCCAAGAGCCTCCATGGACCGGGTCATTAAAATGTCCGATATTGATGATCCAAACAGCAATGCAGATCAATGAGATGACCTGTGATAAAACAGTAGCTCAGCTTTAAAGATGATTATTAGCAAACAGAATCAATAAAGTGCATTTTGCACAAATTTAACTTATCCAGATTAGAAATTCTGACTAGAAAATGGAGATTTGTTAACCTTTGATAGTTGCTGCCCAAACTCATCCAACTTCTGTTGCAGGGGCGTGCGCTCCTGCTCTGTGGACGCCATCTCATCTCGGATTTTCCCGATCTCTGTGTTGCCGGCTGTAGCCACCACCACGCCTACAGCCTTCCCTGCTGCGATGTTGGTGCCCTGTTGAGGTTGAGTGGTGAACACACAGATTAGTAAACCGAGAAATTTAAAGAACTACAAAATGAGTGAAATGTTTACTAGAAATAGCTAACATGTAACAATCTGAGCTTAAAAAAAAGTATTCATATACAATGAATGGCAAACGTATTGTCACTTTTTGTCATGTTAAAGGGGTTAAGACATGAGGCTGTGAATGATGACTGTTAAACACATAACTTGGCTTAAGTTTCTTAACTTGGCCTAGTCAAAGTTTATGCCTCTAATCAAGAATCGAACAAACACATTCAATGTGGCAATAATTGTAGTTAATGGCGGTTCTATAAGATGGGTTGTATATAAATACACACCGCACTTTTCAGATAATTAGTTGTTTAATCTTATATCAAGATCCTTTCGTGTAAAATCCCAAGAAAATATGTAAAGGCTTGTGGTTACGAGACAAATTTAGGAAAAGTTGAATCCCTGAGAATTGTGTTGTAAATCACTGTCTCTTCAGAAAAAAAAATCTGAATATGGCTCAACAGGACAAAAAAGTATATCGACTAAATGTAGTCGAAATATATGAAATAGAAAGCAATAAAATCTTCTGAGTCACTCACAGAAAAGAGCATGTTCTTTTTGTCCTGGTTGACGGCTCGTGGATCTGGAACTGGATCTGTGTGCTTGATCACCGATACAGACTCTCCTGCAAGACGGCGAAAAGAGAGTTATGAGAACAGGAAACGGTGAGTTTCTACACAGCAGAGCATGAATAAGTAAGGGTGGTGCCTGGCTAACATTTTAAACAGAAGTGTGGAAAAGGCTCAGCAGCTGACTGAGCGAACCTGACAAGTATCAGATATTGCCCTGATGCTGCCTTTCAAAGACCTTATCTAATGTGTGCTTACACACTGTTTGTGAGCGCTTTTGGGCATAATTAACTGTGCATGAATTGTAAAGCTCAAACAGAACGAGACGGAGACCGTCTGAAAGGCAGCATGGCCATGAATGGGGAAGGAAAGAGAGGAGAAAAATAGCTCAAACACTAAAATATCCCATGGAATTTGCTACCAATTAAGGCAGCAGAGCAAGACAAGAGATTTAAAGAGTTTATTCACTACTTCTCCTGAACATCAGCCATCCTTCACTATCCTCTCCTAACCCACTTCACCAACTTCACAGGAAATTGATGCACCCACAAATTCAGGACAATTTTTAAAATATAGTCTTATTGACTATGTGTAATTAAGTCAAAATAAGCACACCGGACACATACATTTTATATAGTTACCTTTTAACAAAGAGATTGGCAAATCACAATGCACCAAAAGGAAATTGAGAAGGTGAAGATAGAGACTTTACCTGTAAGAATCGACTGATCTACCCTGAGGGTGGTCGACTTTATAGAAGTCAGCCTGATGTCTGCAGGCACTTTATCACCAACTGTGGACAGAAATGACATTTTTGGTACCTTGAAATTTGAGTTGCATTTATTAAGTAAATAAGAAGAGAAATCCAAATTATAAACAGTATTTTATAACCCTTTCCAGGCATTTCAATGACAAAATTTTATATTTCAATTCTGTGGCACAACCTCATTTAAATCAAATAAAATGTGATTTACTGCAATACCCTACATTTGAATCAAACCCCTAATAAAACAACAACTGTAAATCTAAACAAGATCCAGGTGGTTAGGGCGAGGGGTAATTAGAGAAGTAATAAGTTATTGTTGCTCAGATCAGAAAAAAATCATGCTTTCAGCATTATTAATGGCCAACTCATCCCCTGCAAAAGGCTATTATACACTTCATGATATCCTATTTCCCTCACAAAAGGCTCCAGCAAGTTCCAATAAAAAAACAGAAAATGTAAACAATATATTTCAAGCTCTGCTTAAATCTCATAAGCACCAATAAATCTGCAGACTTTTATTAGACCTGAAAGATTAAACTGTTCTTAAACTTAACTTAACTTCACTTCTAGCTGAGTTTGAGTTACAAACAGAAAAATGATGATAGGTTGTGGTCAGAATTAATCGTGCATTTTAATAAAAAAAAAAATTCTTATCAAAAACATAAAAACTTTGGAAAAAAAAGAGATAAAATCCATAAAAGACACATGAATGATATACAGCTGAGGCCACCATTCTTATTATGATGGTTTATATTTATAGAAGACTTCACAGAAACTAAGAACGGAAACGACCACTCTTCCACCAGAGATATTTTCCATTCAGTTAGTCATCACACAGCTTGAAAGAGTGAAGATAAGAGCAATGACTCAGAGGCTCTTTAGAGCACGCTCTGTGGATAGTACAGAGTGGTGACAGACATGTAAACCTCTGCTGTGCCAGTCTGAGAGGAGAGAATGGGCTGGAGGGAAAAAAAAGGGGTTTAGATGAGTTTCTTAAACTCTACGCCCAAAAATGGGAAAACTATTTTGATCATTTGAAGACATGCAGCTGGAACTAGGGAAGGGGGAGGCTAAGAACATCTGTTTCAAGCAAGGATATCCCACTGTATCAGATGAGCTGAAATAGAAACTGTGACATGTGATTGTGTTCAGACAGAATATTGTTAGAGCTCGATTTCCCCAATCCAGACATGGATTTAAGTAAGAAAACATACTTAATAAGAAATCAGCGTAAGTAAACAAATGAGATCTTGATTACACAACTATTTATTTCAAACTGGTATTACTGTAATATGTGTTGCCTCCGCAAAGATGTTCATGGACTGCATAGGCTGTGCTACCTTATTTGGTATCAATGGTTTACTACATATTGTTGAACTCCCTCCATGCCTGATAAATCCCATAAAATAGGGAAAAAAAAAAAAAAACAGGACAGTGAGGGAGATGATACAAAGGCACTGCAGCGACTGGGAAAATTAAACAAAGCCTGTGGGAAGCTTCGCACTAAAAAGTGGCTAATTAGAAATCCTCTTACCAGTAGAGAAAAAAAAAGAACACCCTGCTAATTTTCCATCCACTGGGATATACTGGGAATAGGGTCACAGTAAGTGGAGTAACCCACTTATACTGGCAATCAGGATGTTTCAGAAGCCAGACAAGATAGTAAAGGCAAATAAATCTAGCTTATATAATCCATAAATTAAGATATAGCAGCATATTTAATTTTGCAAATAAAAAGCTCAAAATTAAAAATATCCCTGTAAAAAGTATGTTTTGTCAAAAACTTAAGCTTTTGAAAAAGCAAAATATCAAAAATGGCTAATTTTCCACAACGTTAATGAAAATATATTGCAATCTTGCACAGAAATGTTCTGAACTGACCTAATTTTCAACTCCACATGGGAGATGTTTTGGCTTTGGTCTTAAAGAGCATGCTCTTTTTAGCTCTTGTTTTTTTTCTTCTTTTTTTTTAAATATGGGAGTGTGAATGACCTCTGGAACATGGACTTTTCTTTCTCCCTTGTGAACAAAGGATTTTATCTGCATTATCCGCTCCCCTGAGTAAGGGACAAATGTCAGTAAGGTTTCTCTTGCACGTAAAGAGAAACCTTCCACTGGCTTGTAAACACAGGAACTGTCCTCATTGTACCTTGTTGTACTCAGGGTAGTCAAAATTAAAGTGGCGCACAAATGGTTGACATGACTTCCGGACCTGATGCTGAGTTCTTCATGTTATTTAACCCACAAGAAATTTTCTAAGACACTCTGATTTGGGAGTAATCTGTCCTTTTAAACCATTTTTTTAAAATGGCAAAATAGATGGAATTAGAAAGGGACAGATGGACAGACATAAGGATGGTGGATAAAAGCAGAGACAGATGGATGGACAATGGAGGAAAGGATGGTTGAGTATATGTAAAAATATTTGAAGAAATAGGTAGATGGATACCAGAATAGGGATGGATGGAGTTTGCAAACACTGTGTGAAAATGCATATTGTGATTATTTCTTCTTATAATGAAGGACTTAAATGTAATGGCAAACAGGCAGCAAAAAAACCCTTGATGACCTTTTCAAACTCAGATAAGAGTAACTTAATGGAGCCAAACCCAGTAAAAACAACAACAAATTTCCTCCACATTACATCCTAACCACAAAAGTGTGGTTAGGGCTATAATACGATAGAAAATAGAACTGAAACAAGTTGGATGCTGTTAGCAAAGTCAGTTTCTCCTGCAGAAGAAACTTTTCTTTAGAAATAAAGTGTAACATTATTTCTGTCACCAATTGAAATTGGGAATTTAACCCATTAGAAAATTAAGTTAGGCAGAGATTATGTCATAAAAAGGCCGTAAAGTTTTGTCTTGTTAATCTGGTTAAATTAATTTTAACCCAGGTTCTCTTCTCTCTGTTGTTTGGATTCAGGCTGTGCAAACAACTATTTCCTCAAGGATACAAAGTAAACAACCACTGGTGGGAAAGAAATAAGCTAGGAGGCATCTGGGGACATACTCTTTACAGAAAGTCTCTGGCTGTAAAACCTCAACATTGGTGGCCTCCGATAATTTGTGACACCACTGAAACATCCACACCTTGCATAGTATGATTATACTGATTGTATATTATATAATCAAATCTTCCTGCTTCCAACTACACTTTGCAGTTTGTCAATGCACAAAATAAATGGCAATAATGACCTTTTTAACAAATTATAATTACAGCATTGTAACTTGAGTTCTGGGTATATATTTATAACAAAAAAGGCTTTTCATATATATTATATATATATATATATATATATATATATATATATATATATATATATATATATATATATATATATATATATATCTGGAAAAACACACATCATGCAATAAAAACTTATCAGTTTATCTTTAGTTCATAATTTTCTGTTCTGAATGAGGCAATGTTGAAAAAAAATAACTAACTTTGTGCTACATTTATAATCACACACCACGGACAGATTCATAAATGTCATCTATAATCATTTCTAAACATACGGTGCATTCATTAAGCATCCTCAACACACAGCAACTCATTAAAAAATTTTCTCACAAATATTTAAAAACACTAAAAAAGAAATAATATGGATTCAAGTATTTACAGTGTTTTCTTATAAAGCTCACAGTTGAGCTCAAGCACATCCTGCTTCTACTAATCATCATTTCTGAGATGTTTTTACAGCATAATTCAGTCTACCTTTGGTAAATTGACTTGACCGAATAGAAAAGCATATTTCTGGCTCTAGATGAAATTGAGGGAAAAATGAATGAAGCAATGTGCTGAGACATACTGGATGAAAACCTACTCCAAAGCAATCTTGACCTCAGACTGGAGACACGATTCATCTTTCAGAAGGACAAAGAAGTGGCTTCAGGACACCACTCTGGGAATGTCCAAGAGTGGCCTAGCCACAGCCCAGACTTGAAACTCCAGCCTGTCTAGAAAGAGCTGAAAATGACTATAAACCAATATTTCCATGTTCAACCTGATGAAACTTCAGAGATTTTGCTAAGTGGTATGGGGTAGATTCCCGAAGACAAGTACACTGGGATTGTAGCATCATAATCAGACGACTTGAGTCTGTAATTGCTACCTAGCAGGACATTAACAAAGCCTTGAGCAAAAGCTCAAGACATGTGATGCCTTAGTTTTATTTTTATACGTTTGCTAAAATAAAAGAAAGCATTTTTTTCATTAGGGGGTGCTGTGTGTAGAGTTTTGATGGAAAAAATACATTTTGATCAAATCTGGAAAAGGGTTGAGATACAAAATTTTGAAAAAAGTAAAGGCACAAAATCTGACAGCATTAAAAAAAATGTCTAGGCAAAAAAGAACAAATAGCAATTTCATATTTCTTGTCTTTCTGAAACATTTTCTGGATTTGTTCTTGGAATTAGGCACTGCCAATATTATAGTTCTGTTTTTTAAATGGAAAAAGACCTATTGCACAAAAAAGTGGGGGAAAAAGTCAATACACATACCTGTGGAAAATAACTCATACGGTCACTACAGTAGAGATACCTGAATTTGTGGAAACACTGAGCTTTGATCCATTTCTGGCTCGAGTACAAATTGAAAATTGAAAATTAATTCCCAAAAGACTGAATCAAAGTGGATCTAACCTTCCGTTGGTCACCTTAGCTGAAGCAACATACCAGCAGAATTTCAATCAGCTATTGTCCATGTAATGTTGACATACTCCATCTGTGTGAATTTCATCAGTTACTGTAGAAGAATTTGACAAACACTACAGGCAGCTCTCTTTCCCACTTAGCAGGACAGGTTTACATCAGGACCCAAGCAAACATTCAATAACGTTTACTTATAATCCGATTAGATGTCCATCTTTACATGACTGAGAGACAGTAGCACCATAATGCAAAAAATATTTTATTAGGCTTTCGAAAGGTTGAGCAGAAGAGGGTTATTTACTGATTCAGAAAATAAAATATGCTGAAGGGTTACATAATAATGCAGGGAAATTGTTATTACAGTTACTGTTCATTGAAGAGCAGACTGATGTGCTTACAGGCAATGGTGCACTAACAACCTGTTAAACCTAAAAACAACAGGACCAACCACTAAGAGTAATCAGCTTTACGAAACTGGAAGGAGCTCAAACAGTTCAGTTAGTCAGACAGTAATGAAAACACTTTTTTTAAGCAGAGCAAATTAAGCATTAAAGTAAGGAAATATCTATTCTCATGGAAAGAAAAACAATTAAAGGGAGTTTGATAGAAAAAATGGTGAGATAAACTTGACTTAAAAGCTTCTTGGTTAAAGAAGACCTAAACAATCAAACAAAAAGATGAGAAAAACCAGACAAAAGGGAGCAGTGACGCAAAAGCCAGAAACATTTGCAGCCCAGTTCAAGCTGAGGTTAGCCAAGAAATGGTCAGGAACAAAGTGAGCCTTTGCTTTTGTAGTTCTTTACATGCACTGAACAATCATTATCCTAAAAAGCATCAAGGGCAATGAGTAAGATGAGTCCACAACTCACTCACTATGTGCATAAGCTAAAAACTTTGGAAAGAATTTGTAACACTGTAAGGTCACCAGCAAGAACAGTGTGCTAAATTACAGCAATTTAGGTGTTCTTCCCATTGGCCAGAATCAGATACTAATTATACAATAAACTGAGAACAAAAGCCACAATTTACTATTAATATTTTGCTCTTGACACATGAACCTAAATTTAGAATACAAACTTGCTAAATTTGGTAGCAGATTAAGTGGAAATTGTGCAGTGGTAAAAATTTTTTTTCTTCAGCTCTTCTCAGATCAAGGTTAACAATCTGATATTATTTGGATAATTACTAAGGATATCTGCTAGGACAACTTGCCTACAGTCAGTTGCATAATCGAGAAACTACATAGCTTGACATTTGTGGTTTTTAAACAGCATTACCTTAATAAGAAGAGGGAGGCACTCCATTAGTTTCCACACTATAACTAATTATTCATGCCTGGAAATATTTCCACACCACCAAAATAAACTACAGAGCAGTTTAAGACCTTCATTTCATCCAATTGACCAGCAGTGCATAGCAACAGATGGGGAGGGGCAACACTGTGTTACTTTATGCTTCATAAAGCTGAAAAAATAAAATGAATAATCCATTGCTTAGAAAGACCCAAAACCATAAAAACATGGCCAAAAATTGACACTTGAAACTGCAACTGTTTCAAACTTTGAAAACCTCACCACAAAAATCTTCTTAATTTATAGCTAAAATTTTAAACTTACCAGCAACTTCTACGATGTCACCAGGCACAATGTCCCTGGCTTTGATTCTCTGAACGCTTTTCCTGTCCTGGCGATATACCTTCCCCATCTCTGGCTCATATTCCTTCAAAGCTTCAATGGCATTTTCTGCATTTCGTTCCTTAAGGGTAAAAATAATTTGTATTGGAAAAAAAGGTGGAAAGATGTCACACAAGACTAAAGCTAAGTACAAGGTCAGACAAAAATTTTTCTTTGCTAATTTCTAGAATTATTCAGAGCAGCACTTTTTAAAACATTCAAAACAAAGTCTGCAAACAAGGAAGGAACATTGCAACAATATTTTTTGATAAAACAATGCAAGTGGTGACAAGGTAATATTTCAAAGGCCAAACATTATTGTTTTGGTTAATCAGACATTTACATCAAAGTGCTATTTGTTTAACCTTTAAACAAATAGCACCAAATCTTTAAATATCCAAATCTTTTTTTGCCTGCCTCTTTCCAGTATTTATATCAGGCAAAGTCCCAGGTTGAATAATGAACAAGAAGTTTGTTAGTAATACTACAAATCTATGTGACGATATCTTATTTGGGTAAATTACAGCTCCCCACTTAAACATACAATTTGTATGTTCTTAACATTCATAAAGTACTCTTTGTTAATAAGCGGAGACTAAAGTTAACTTCACAAGACAATGCTGGAGAAATCCACTGGCACACCAGGCTTCCTCTTTGATCTAGAACACAATTTTACTTGAACTATTTGGATTATTCTGCTGGCTCTGAGTTTTTCCACAGGGATCTTTATTAATGCAACAATTTCACAATGGCTACTATTTCAATAGCTTGTAAGATAAAAACAAAAATACATATGGTACTTAATAAAAGACTTGACTTTTTATAATAAATATTTAATTTTCAGTTATTATTCACATAAAAAGACATTACTAATATTCAAATCTGTATCAAAATGTTTTGGTGAATTTTTCAGCTAAGCTTACTTCAGCTTCCCATTTTTAGATGACCAACTAGGTCAGTATTATTATTCATCTATAATTGTAATAATATGAACAAAATTAGGACTCTGGTCATAAGAAATAAGATGTAATATGTGTTTACCTGCCAGACTCCTACGATGGCGTTTGCTATGAGAATAAGCAAGATAACAAAAGGCTCCACAAAGGCTGTGACGGTTTCTTCTCCCTCTTCAAACCAGGCCAGAACCTGCATGTAAAAAGGAAAGAATGGATCAGGAATGAAATGCAGATTAAGAGTTTAAACGAGACACCATGGGTACATATTAGCATAATATGTACCATTACAACCATTTCAGTTATATTCACAATATAACAACTTCTTTCTTCAGGGCCTCAACATCGAGTCACAAATACATTGCTTTAGACTCTAAAGCAATATACTTGTGAACAAGAAAAATTTTATGTTTTTATTTCACCCTACAATAAATGAATCCAACCACTTTTGAGGTTAATGCACAATCAGACGTGGTCCAAGTTGGGATAAGTTTTTTCTAATCACATCTGGTGGGAAAACAAAAAACTCCTGATCTCAAAAGTGACTATATAGCAAATCAGCAAGGCTTCTGGGAATATGGATTTGTTTATAACTTAACATCACCGGAAATTTTATAGATTTTGTGTCCAACACTAAAGTTACATAATCCTGCATAGATTGTATGCTGGTTTAGCAGCTGGAAGTTGACTTTGTGGTGAGTTCAAGGTTGACAACATGAGGAGGCAGCAGTGTCTCAACCACTGTTAATGTCTATTGATGTGTTTTGATGGACAAAAGCCTTGTTTGTCTTAAACTTGTTTTTGATAGAATCACAGATTCAAACATTTGAAAACGTTATGTACATTTATTCATATGAGAGAATGAATATATTGTAGCAGAAAGAAAACTATTGTTCCATGTTAATTAAAATGTAACATCTTTCACGTCACAGAAAACTCAATTGTAATGTTACCCTATTTTTCTACTAAAATGATAACCCATTTCATTGATTTTAAACCATTTTTGTCAAATATTGATAACACAAATACAGTTTATTTAGGGGAAAGTTGAAGCCAGATGTTAAAAATAAAGAAGCAGGGAGATTCCACTATGTCACTAATCATCTTTCACTGCCATACAAGCAAAACCTTGACTTTTAACTTCCATTAATATCTGCAAGATATTAGAGGAGGACAACATGTAAATGAAGATCAAGCAGCTTCTTTTCTTGCCAATATTACAAACTGGGCCAAGTGTGTGAGAGAAAGAGCAGAAACTACTATCCTCTTTTAGAATCTGTGCCAGGAGCAGAATGTGTCAAATAAGATGTCAAGTGCCTGAGTCTTTTCCTACTGTAGCCTATTTAAACTCTTCTGCTTAAAATCCAATTTCTATAATTTTATATTTTTTTTGCCAGTTTCTTCTACGGAGCTGAAATACAAATGTTGACATTTGTACATATTTCAACTATTGCTATGTACTGTCGTGTTAAGAAACTGACTCTGCAGATGTGAGTGACTAAAAGCAAACAAAAATACAACTCACAATTTATTTCAAATCAAAGATTGTTCTATGCCTTAATGAATGATAATGTTTTAAGCCATTGAGCAAACAGTCAATTCCTAGAGTTGAAAATGACTGAAGGAAAAAATGTATCACTGAGTTCAACATGAACTACGCTGGGAAGTGTCACTCACTCAGAAACAAAAACACTATCCACTTAACCTGTTGACACTACTATGTTGCATTTAAGTGATGTGATTAACTGATCCTGAAAACAAGCTTGGGTGAGTTACTAGTCTGAAAGAAATCCAGTAAAAAGCAATGCCATCAACTATTGCTGCACACTGCCAGTTAGCCGGTTGCAAGAAAACAGAGAAAGTCTCCTGTTTGAAAATATTTCTGGTTATAAAATGCCATCAGTTATCCTAAGGATGTAATTCTCTCCTGTGATAGGATTTAAACACCAGCTGAAAGAACTCACTCTCTGGATAAAAAGGCTTACAACAGATTAAAAATGACTCCATGTGTTGGCTTCACGTCTGTATTTACAAAACACATTTTCATGTAAATACAAGAAGATTGAACTGATATTTTGACTCATACTTCTACTGTGAAGTTCTTATTCTGCACATTGCCACAGCACAGTAGCACATCAGACATTACAATCTTAAACTAAACTGACCTCTCAGGAATCAGTTTCTTTCATTCTCCAACATCCAAGGACATAACCTGCTGCTTACTGGGACAATATAATCAGCACTGAAGGACACTAAAATGGATACATCCACTTCTATATCATCACAGCAGCTTTCCTGTCATTTTGTGTAACTAGAGAAGAGTCCAGTTTACACTAGATCACAGCTCTTTCTAAGGAAATCTAAAATCTACAAGGAAATTACTATATTTAAGGAACAGGTTGAAGGATAAAAAGACATATAGTGAATAATAAAACAGCCAGTGATCATCTCAGTTATATCATACAGCAGTCTGTACGTCCCTCAAATGTTGCCAGCCATATATAGTCAGTAGATTCAGCTATTCATTAACTGAAGTGCTGGTTACTTACCATTAAATCCAATACGAACATAATAAACTCAGAGCAGAGTCATTAAAAAAAGCACAGCTGGTATTTAAATCATCTCTACCTCAGTGACTCACAAAAGAAACAGTCCAGAAAACAAATCTAAAGAAGAATTACACAGAATGAGTTGAGCAAACTCCAGTCCTCAATTCACTTTTGGCAGATGTCTAGACATAGTAGAGTAGAGGGGCAGGGATTACACTAGGAGTGTAGAAACAGGAAGTTGGCACCTAAAATTCAACATCTCCCCATACTTTACTACTTTCAATTTGACAAACTATGTAGTGCCAGTGAATAGAGGGAAAATTGTTTATTAAGGTAGCAAAATGGTACTCAAATTTTTAACGTTTTATCTGAATTTTGTAGATAAAATCCTGTTTTAAATTTCTGAAACTATTTTACTAAAATTTAATCAAAATGAGCAATATTTTTTTTCTGCCAGCTACAATGCTCCAGGTGTTCATTTTAATGCATCAGATAATTTTCACTTGTATTTTTTTATCTTTTTCAATAAAGGAAAAAAAATGTGTTTAATCTTTCTAACTCTGGTTGATATTTTATAGACATGTAAAACATTTCATAAAACAACTTGAATCTTAAATCTTAAAAACACCAATAAGAGTTTAAGATCATTAATCATTACATCAAAAAAATAATAATAATTAAATGTACAACTTTTTTTTGTACAAATGGAAATATAATATTAAACACTAAATCTTCTGTTCTTAAATTCTGTTGTTCTGTTGCTTAAATTGCTAAGAGATTATTTTAGGAGGTACATATCAGGTTCAAAGTCTGGAGGTAGTAATGGATACTAATATGGCTTAATGTTTTCTTGTCATTTTTTCCGTTTTGTTTGAATATTGATTTTTCATGTTTTGAGAATATGAATATGCTCAAGTTGTAATATAAACCAGTGTCTTTTTCTCAGATGCCACAGATAGATGAGTAAGAAAATGTTTATTTTCTAATAAACTGATATTGGGTTAAAAGTGATAAAGGACAACCTTTATCAATATTTAAATATGTAATACCATTGGAGAGATTTCGTAAAGACATTTAAGCTACTTGAGCGTTTTTGCAATTTCATACTGGTCCATATACCCATTTCAAAAACCATTGTTTTAAAGTCAGTTCCTATAGTACACTGTTAATAAATCTATATTTTAGTGAAGACCACCTTCAAGCAGAAGCTTGTTCAAAACAGGTTCATCATAATATGGTTAAGAAACACTCAAAGTATGAGAAAAAATATTGCTACTGCTAAAAAACTCTGTTGATTATTAAGGTTAGTGTTTTATATGCCATATTTTCACAACTTTTATACTATTCCAGAATTAATTAGGGTTGAATATACCCTACTGACATTCAGTTGTTTAGCAATAAAACTGATATTAGTCAATAGATTATTAAATAGGCTACTGTTAATATTAACATAATAATCTGACTGGCCAAGAAACTAAACATCTAACATTTAATGACAGAGAAACTGTTAGGTGGTGATTGAAGTCAATAGGCACAAAATATTTTTTTCAGTTATTTGATCTCATCAAGGGTTGCAATCAGTCATAATCCATAAAAATCAACAACTAGACAGAATCAGAATCACTATCAATGAAAATCAGGCATGAGAAAAACTGTTAAGAAAATAACTAAGTCCAGAAATACATACAATCATCCAAGTACAAAATGGTTTCTTCATGTGGGCAAAATGTTATTGTGTGGGTAGTAAACGTCAATGAAGCATATTGACCAGCAGTTTTGATTTCACACATGAAATCCTGGATAAACTGCTCGTTTACATTAGCTGATCCATTACAGTTCTCAGAACACAGCATGAGATGAACATCAAATTGTGGTATACTTACAAAGGATATGCAGGCAGCAAGTAAAAGGATCCTCACAAGCAGATCCTCAAACTGTTCAATCACCAGCTCCCAAAGAGATTTGCCTAGCAAGAATAAAGATTTGTAAATTAAAGATTTCTTTGAAACAATCCAAAAGAGGATTTGTAGAAAATTTAGGGTAGATCTTTAAATTGTCTTCTTACCCTCCTCTGCTGGTAATCTGCAGAACATCCATCCCATCGACGCCACAAGGGAAGAAGGAAAGGCAATTAGCTAAATTTGATTACTTGTTGCGCGGTATTAAGTGTGTTGATAGCGCTTCACATTAATATCAGCAAATCAATTTATTGCCAATACATTAACGTTTTACAATATTTCAACATCACACTGTGACATCAACAAGCTTCCTTTTTTTTGACTTGTCATTACATTATGGCCCACACATGAGCCGGGTAATTCGCCTGTTCTTGTTTTCCAACGAACACATGACGCTTAGCTCCTTACCGTTAGGTCCAAATCGCTCCCGTTGTTTCTTTACCTCGTCTAAACTCAGACCTGTGCTCTCATTTACGTTGAAAAAGCTGAAAACTTCCTCCACCGTCTTCGTGTGTGCGTTGTCCATGGTGAACGGCCACTTGAGGACACAGTTTGTTCCCGCTGCTCCTAACCTTTAACCAGGCTCAGTCCTGTTCCTCCACCGGTGTTCCCACACGCGTTTCAAAGAAAAAACGAGTACGGAGAGAAATACTGGAGCGAACGTCCACAGTGAGGAGCGTAAGCTGTCAGGTAGTTGTACACAGGACAGCGTGGGACGCAGGTGTACGCCGAGAGTGAACGATTTAGCGGCTCGCTTTGCTAACCAGAAGCTAACAAGCTAAAGCTACGTTGCCTCGGCTTGAATTCGCCGGCAGTGTTCCGCTAGCTTTTTGGTGATACCGTTTAACAAGAATCCATATCAGCACCAGACCAGTTAATGACTATCACTCTCGCCCGCTCGTTTTAAAGTCGGTAAATCCTAAAACAGTCTTTCTAAATGGCTCATTTAAACATGTGTTTGAGTTGCGGCTTGGCTGCTCTCGTCCGCTACCAGACTGTGCGTTGCGGAATCACCAGGGTTGTGATCAGCACCAATCGCGTTTCTTCGTCGTATGCGGAGTTCAGTGTCCGCATGTGGAATCTGCTCATTGGTTGAACAAACCGGACGTCCTACTTTCTCTGTCCACGACGCGATTGCTGTTCGTTGGGTTGTATCTTGCGTCATGCCCACCTCAGATAGCGTTCATGATCTGATCTGTTTTTTTTAAGACAAAACACTGTTAATATTAACAATGTATAAAATACTCACTAGGTTGTTTAACTGATACACTATCATTTAACAAATACAAAGGTATTTATTTATTGTTAGATAAATTATTTTGAGGGCTCGTGTTCATTTATTTATTTATTTCCATTTCATAATAGTATCTAATTATTTGATAAATTGATCACGTTGAATCGACACTACGATGGCAACTTAATGCATACAAATAATAGATGGGAGTATTTCATATCTTGAACTATTCATTTTTTTTAATTTCTTTCTTTCTCGAGACTGAATTATATCTATCCATTTAATGTCAGACTATCATAAATTGATATTTAACACCATAGTGTGCATAAAATAATTAGTGTATCACTGAATTGTATTAGTGAATTCCTTTTATTTTCAGGATCACTTTTTGTAGTTGAGGGAGATGGACTTTACCCAACTTTTATAAGGTGAGAGTCAGATTACACACTAGGCAATTTGCAAGGTCATTACTGAGCCAAGACCCTGGGACAAACAACAACAACAACAAAAACTCACATTCATATCCTTAGTACATTTTTAATAAGAAAATAAAGATGTTTGTCCTACTATATTTATTTACTTAATTCTTTTTGGTGGGGGTGGGGGGTTGTTTGTCTTTTTCTTAAAACAAAAATATTTGATATCGGTCACATTTTGTGCCTACAATACGCTTTATACATATAGTGATTGCTTTTCTTGTATTTGTGTTTCTATCAAATGTTTCTGCAAAGCAACATTGTCCTAAAATGACTGTCTAAAATGTTGTTGTATTTTTTCGTTTTGTCTTTTTTTACTTAACCATGACACTCCTGGTAACTGGATTGCAATTCTACAGGTGATCTGAACAAATGTCATAAAATAAGTTCTTGCCCCAACAGGCAGCTGCAGTTCTGAAGTCTGATTTGATTTGCAAATTTACCACTTCAAGTGTAAAATTTTATTAAGGCAACAAGCAAGATTTCCATTAAATTACCATTACTTTTTGAATACCATTTGAATGAATGGCACCGCTGAATGAACTCATGAATGGGCTTATTAAATAATGAGTCAGTTCCCACAAAAAAGATCAGTAGCAAGTTTGTTACCTACTTCTCACTTTTTTAGGGCTCTGTTAAAACTGGAAAATTCAAATTAGTGACATAACAAAATGGTTCCTATCGTTCACGTTTTATCTTGTGGTGTCAGAAAGGCTTTATCCATCAAATAAGTCCTGTGAGTTGTCTTTGAAATTAAATAAATCTACTCTCTGGGAAGCCTGAAAGAGACAAGTCTTTTTATCAGTTCTCATCAGATTTGTAGAAGAAGGCTCCAGAAACGCTGTCAGCCTCAGTTTAAGCCCGCAGTATCTGTTGTCTATCTGAAAGACAAATTTCCTGTCCGACCCTTAGACTATGGACACTGCTACTTGTCCATATTGACAAGGAAAAACAAGTTTTGTGCAGCTCAGTTTTATAGATAAGTAATAACAGAACTCATCAATAACCTGCCTGGGTACAGAACAAGCTGTAGGGGAAAAGAATGAAGAGTGGGTCTGGTCTAGCCAATGATTCATAGAGCTTATTTACATTACAGTTTAGCAAGGTTTTCACTGCACTTTTTGACAAAAAAAAACAACAACAAAAAACGTGCAGTGGGGATGTCGAAATAACTGTTCGACATCTCTTGTGCCTGAAATGACTTTGGAGTTGAGTCAATGAGTTTTTTATGCTTGAGAATTTTACATAAGTTAAAATTTTGATAAAAAAAAAAAAAACTAAGTAAATAAATAAGCCAAAGAATATTGTAAATGAATATTATTGTTTTTAATCCTCAAATAATCACAATAAATAAAAAGAACAAAAAATATTGTTCTTTTCCTTCAACAGACGGCGTAATATGTGAGCTGATCCATTATGTAAAAGCTTTAAAAAGCTGTTCATCCCAATTTTTGCTACAATCGGGTAACATTTTACATACAATCATATATTGGGCAGATTTGTTGAAAATGTATTGCTAAACAGGTGAATTCTCAACATCACATAAAGTGGTTCTCACTAGTTGTTCCACATCACATCCTGTTTTCACCCTACCATGTTTGTGATTCCAGCTGACAACACTGGCACCTTATAAGGTAGTAGGGAAAATGTAATTTAACTGATAGCATCCCACATTGAGATAGTTTACATAAAATACTTTGACTTTACCTCCAGAAACAGGTTTGTTAAGGTGACCTTGAGAGAGACTTCCCAGGAAGGCAAGTGCTTATTTTTCTTGGCAACTAAATCTGACTCAAATTGATACCAAAGTGTGACAGTGACATGAGTCACAGCACAATAAAATGTGTGGATACCATAACACACACAATATTGTGTATGTTATGCTCCTTTGGAATTTAGATAGACAGACTGATGGATGGACGTACAGTCGGACGGACTTATAGATGCATGTGCTGTTTGGCCTTTTGTCACTTGCGTTCGGTAAGCTGAATAAATTTTGGTGCACCATTTTCTTTCCTAAAAACAATCATATGACCTTTTCAAGGACAATTTGATATGCAAGAAACAAAATACATCTTTCAATGACATTGAAGGAATTTCAAACTGACGAGATATTACTGCCCTCAAGTGGTCAAACGCAATAATACAGACTTAGTTTTTTCAGGCCTTCACAGACCAACTTTGAAAAACTAGCTGATGAAAGTAAGGATGTAATTTTCAGGCATATTGCTATTTTATCAATCTGCTCTAAATAGCTAAAAGAGAAAAAGTGCTGATAAAAAAAAAAATCATTGTTTTTATGAAATAAGAAGCATGTTTCAAACAAGTTAAATAAACAAATTGTATTTACCAGTAATCTTCTAAGATAAACTTTAATAATATAATATATATATATATATATATGATATAATATATATATATATATATATATATATATATATATATATATATATATATATATAAATTCGAATAAATCTGAATTTTATGAGATGAGAACATGTGACCCTCAGATAATTTCCTAAAAACAATTATACCTTTTCAAGGACAATTTGATATGCATGCAAAAAAATAGATCTTTCAATGACATTGAAGGAATTTCAAACTAACGAGATATTACTGCCCTCAAGTGGTTGTTGATAGTTTCAGTAACTGTCAACATGTTACTGAAAAATATCTGTACAAGTTTTTTTTGTTTGTTTTAAATATAATGTACTAATGATTCCTTTTCATCATTTCCAAAATAACAGATTATTGGATTCTTAACTATTCTAAGCTTTTTAGTTTTTATTGAAGACATGTAGAAACATTGATAGTGATGTTTTTAGGTTTTATTTGTACATATAGTCCAGGTTGCAGCTGAACTTGAAAACAATTCAAGAAATATGTAAAAAATGTTTTACCCTTTATGTACAAAAACCAAACAAAGTAACAAGACAACTAACGATTCCAATGATTAATGTATGTTGGGTCAAAGAATACCCTGATTTAAAGACCTTGCCTCTCAGTGGATGATTACTGGTCATCTGCTTATCATTCATTCAAAGATAAATCTGTTTTGTCTCAGAATAAATCCTAATTACAGACCAACCCATGGCATAACAGTAAAACCTATATGTACAATTTCTTTGTTATTTCTCAGTTATTTATGTTAAAAGTGGGAGGTTTGTTAAACATAAGCAAGTAAATATTATTATTACAGTGAGGGCATTTCACTGCATTTCCATAAGCCATGGTTACATCAGACCCAGAGGCTTGAGAATAGGAATGTTCGTTCGAAGATGTAGAGGGTTGCGGATCAGAAACTGGACCAGGTGCAGTGTCTGGCAGAAAAGGCTTCACAGTGGGTGCAGCATCAGGCAGGAGAGGCTCCACAGAAGATGGCGAATCTTGCAGGAGTGGCTTCTTGGATGGGGGGATGACTTGCAGGAGAGGTTTCACAGATGGTGAAGAAAGTAGCTTAATAAGATGGTCCTTAGGGGGTGAGGTGGGTGGCAGACATGGCTCTGGGTTTGGATCTTTTCTCATAAATCCCTCACATAACAGTAAATGCCTCTTCATATCCAACCGGCGCATGACTGTTCTAGAACAGATGGGGCAGTGGAAATGTCCCTCTGGCCTACAATGAAGGCTGCATCGGAGTAAAATTTTGTCTGCAGAAGAAAAAAAAAGTATAAGAAATAATATTATAAATGCATCATATTGCCAAAGTATTGGGTCATTTAATAATTCATATGTCACACAAATTAATTTTACTGACATCAACTGCTCTTCAATGTAGTGTTTGCATGCTTTACACCTCAGCCTTATATATTTTGCTTTGCCTTTGGTCATCCAAGAGTAGTATGCAGCTTCATGGGCATGGAAACCAATCCCATGAAGCTAGCAACACACTGTTTTTGAGTTAATCTGAAGGGTGCATGATGTTAGGAAGTCTGTAGATTGACCCTGGATAACATTAGTAACCTTCTGCACAAAGCACCTGGGCGTCCGCCAATCCTACTCCGTCTGGATAAAAACAATCACCATAATATGTAAAATATAAAGCATGAAAAATATCAAGCCTTTAGGGTGAATAATGAGAGTGTGCTTAGTGTGTGTTACTATTAAGTAGTCACAGCTATTTATTTGACAAGTAATTTCTAATACAACTATATCCAAAAGGCAAACAAAATTAGAATAATATAAAATAAGATGAATAAAGACAGGAACAGCATTATCTATGTCTTCACCAGAGTTTAAGGTAAACACACCACCAAGGCAGGTAACCATTGGAGACAAGATAAGATCACATTACAAGTTTATTACTTGGACAATACACTGAAGTTGTGACATGACAAAATGTTAAAATGGCCCACGAACACTTACACAAGGCACTTGACATTCAGGCACATACATATAATACCAACGTACCTTTGTAAGGTAAACCATGACTAATGTGGTGGTTCATGTGTTTCTCAATCTTTTCCTTCACTGTGGGCTCGAAGTTGGGACAAACAGGGCAGTGGAACAGTTTATTGCAGCATGTTTTGCATTCTTCCAATGCAATTTTTGAGTTAAGATCAAAGACTGAGATGTGCATCTGAAACAGGAATTAGTGCAGAGAAACAGCAGTTAAAGATTTTAACTACTTTTACAGTTTCATTCAAACTCATTTTGGACTAAGCTGATATACAGTTGCATTAACAAGAAAGTACACCCTCTATCAAGTCTATTGTTTTGTATATTAGATCAAGATAGCAAGGATAGCCCTTAAACATCCAAAAGGTATTTAAATTTAACTTCAAAACAGGGTTGCAATCATAGAAGGTAAAGCAATTGTGATAATTTTACTAAATGTTGCAATGGTGAAATCAGTTGCGATAAATCCGCATTATTTTGATGTTATATTCCCCAGCCATGCATAAAATGTTAAAAAAACACAGAATTTGATCATTTCTTTAACTTAGATTGGATGTTAAAGTGAAAGTTCTCTCCATTCATTAACAACTCCTAACATGTCACTGAATGAGATGTAGAGCAGCTTCAGAAAAATAATATGAGGTACATAAGAACATGGACACAAAATGGAATTCCTACAGTTCCAGATAAATGTCAATGGCTGGGAACAAAGCAATTATAAAAGGTAGGTGATTTAAGTGGCTTTCAATTTTGTGTACAAAAGAAGGAAATATTTAATCTAGTTAAGCATGAATTAAAATATTTTACACGGACAAAAAACAAAACAAAAAACCCCCCTGGGGGATTCTTTGGTATGTTACCAGCAGGTTACCACATTGATGGTTAAACCTCAATTATATTGATAATAAAAAATATTGTGCGCTACAGACTTATATTTAAGACTTTCTAATGTTTTCCAAGATCTTTATGGCATAAGCAAATATAAGTAAAATATACTCAATTGAATAACTAATCTTTAATGTATTTTACAAGTACATAGGCCAATACTGAATCCTGGTTTTCAAGCTGTTCAAGCTCTTTCCCATAGTAAAAGAGCAAGAACGTGTAAATTTTAATTCCTTTAAGATATATTAAACAAACTTTTTTGGAAGCTTTTTGGGGAATTTTAAGTGTTTTGCAATAAATGTCTTTAGTCAGGGCTTATTGCTTACCCACATTATGGGGTTTTTAGTTTTGTCTAATAAGAAATCTGGACAAATTAAGGACGTAATAGCACGTTCCTTAACAACTAGTGTGGACATTCTTTTATGCATTTATGACTTTCCAAAAATTTTGAAAATTAAGTTAGAGTTTTAGGTGATTTTTTCCAGTACTAAAGTATTAACTCTAAAATTAAAACCAGAACATTCGACTGCAATAAGCTATAAACAGTGGGGAGCAGTCCTGGAACAGCTGTCACAGAGTGGGAGCATTGACTAAACACAGCACGGTATATCTGATGCATGGATGCAATTGCTTAATTAAAAAAAATAAATAAATAAAGTAAAGTTTCATGCTGAAATTGCTAACACTACTTTTAATTTCAATAAACAGCTATGGTGATATTAATATGGGGGAAAACCCTGCAACACAGTTGGTTTCTCTCCATGTAATCTTAATATACAAACAGGAGCCCACATGCTGAAATAGAACTAACCTTGTCGTGGAGCTCAATTCTCCATGCGGAGGTAGAGCCAACCTATTTCCGCCTTCTTTGGAGATCACGTGTTTCCTCTTACCGTGGAAAACACGGAATCTCGCGATATTTGTAAGGTCAAAGTTAGCAGCACCATGTGTGACTGAGGAGATCATCTCTGATTTTTTACATACAGAATTTTATACGGGACATTTACGTTTTTTGGCACGTTTACTCTATTCGTCGAAGTTTACGAAGAGTTTGCAATTACCGGCTGTTTAATGAACGCATCCTGCGATGATTTCTCAGCTGATGGAGCAGGTTCCATGCCGACGCTGCTGCAGGAACCACTGAGTTTTTTAGCTTGACATGTTTAAATCCCGACCACTGTTAAGTGCCTTATTTAACTACAGACTGTTAGAGAAAAACGGTAGGTCAAGAAAAAAAATCTACATATTTATTATTTCTGGTGTAGTCTCGTTTCCTGGTTTCACAAATGTATAGTGCTATATTTACAGGTTTAAAGTTCTTGTGCACAATGAGTGAAGAAGCCAGAGATCAAGAGACAGCCAAGCTGTTAAAAAGGGAAAATGAGGTGAATGAGGACTCAGCTGAGAGAGCCACTAAGAGAACAAAAGCAGAAGGGGAGCACAATGAAGATGACAAGAGGTACCCAAAGAAGAAAGTGGTCCTTCTTTTGGCATACTCTGGAAAGGGATACTATGGGATGCAGGTATTTTCCTTTACTTTACGTAGAAATGTTGCAAAAACCTTGAAACTTCATAAGAAGTGGATGAGTCGAACCACTTAAAAATATCTGATAATAATAATAATAAAACCTCACTACCTGACACTTATTTATTACTCTTAACTTTTTATGTTATTTTAACTTTTATTAATTATCTCATCTGTCCACTTGCTTTTTTCTTTTAGAGAAATCCTGGAAACTCCCAGTTTAGAACCATTGAAGATGACCTGGTCACTGCTCTAGTTAAATCTGGTTGCATTCCTGGAAATCACGGTGATGACATGAGGAAGATGTCCTTCCAAAGATGTGCCAGAACAGATAAGGTATGTGTTCATTCACCTCAAATATGCATTGCAAGACTAATGGGGGGGGAGAAAAATCTGCAAAAAAACTGATTTGTCTTCATTTACAATATTGTTGCTAATAAAAGTTAAGTACTAAAGCAATGTGTGTTGTTTTGCTCCTATTTGATGCTATTTTGTAGGATGTTGTAAATTTAGTAAAGTTTTTTTTTTAACAGATACACTGTTAAGTTTTTTTCGTCTTTCTTTAGGGTGTTTCTGCTGCTGGTCAAGTGGTGTCACTGAAGCTCCGTTTAATTGAGGACATAATAGAAAAAATCAATGAGAATTTACCACCACAGATCAGGGTGCTTGGTAAGACCGTTGTATTAGAAATAAGAGGGACTGGAAAATTTGCTGGTGAACAAGACTTTTTGACTTTCAGTTTGTTTTCCCTGTCAAGAACTAACAGGTCACATTAGTCCTTATCCAAGTTGTTACTGTAGTTGTTATTGAAGATTCAGATCATTCATTTATTTCATCACTCTTTTGTATCTGCATCACTTAACGGATTGCGAGCTTTTCAACCCAAACGCTGTCCTTTTGCATTGCTCAAATGAGGGCTGTCATGCAAAGTGCTACAATATATGCTGTAAAATGAAAAAGAAAATGCAAATACTGTTATTTATAGTCATTAACTTGCTAAAATCTGCATTGACAATCAGATGTTTATAAAAACTTGATTCAACTCTAATACCTTTGATGTGAATCCATGAATGTGCTTCTGATGTATTTATTTTTGCTGTACCAGGGCTCAAGCGAGTGACCCAGGGATTTAATTCCAAAAATAACTGTGATGCCCGTACGTATGCCTACATGCTCCCAACTGTAGCCTTTTCTCCTAAACACTATGACACTGAGAACATAGCAGCATTTCGTCTAGAAGCAGAGACTCTTCAGAAGGTGAACCAACTTTTTGCCCTTTACAAAGGCACCCATAACTTCCACAACTTCACTTCCCAGAAGGCTCCAAGTGATCCCAGCGCCCGCCGCTACATCACAGAGATGTCCTGTGGAGAGCCTTTTGTCTGCAACAACCATGAGTTTGCTGTGATCACTGTGCGAGGCCAGAGCTTTATGATGCACCAGATTCGCAAGATGATCGGCCTGGTGATCGCAGTGATCAAAGGCTATGCCAAGGAGGAGGTGATGGAGCGTAGCTGGGGTCAGGAAAAGGTGGACGTCCCAAAAGCGCCGGGACTCGGGCTGGTACTCGAGAGGGTTCACTTTGATCGGTACAACAAGCGCTTTGGAGGGGACGGTCTGCATGAGCGGCTAGAGTGGGATCGCGAGGAGGAGGCGATCAAGGCCTTCAAAGAGGCTCACATATATCCTACCATTGTCGAGACTGAATGTGAGGAGGGGTCCATGATCAGCTGGATGGCCACTCTTCCCATCCATGACTTTGAAGCAACAGTTACTGGAACACAAGACAATAAGGACCAAAAACAGGTGCATCAGCATTATTAAATTGATAATTAGATGTATAGCATTGGGGGGAAAATACATTGTTATATTGTAGCTAAGTGTTTGTCCCATTCTTCTTTACAGGAGAATGCAGATGAAGGGAACGACTCCGATTAGACCATCTGAAGAGAGGCCTTTTATTTTGAATTTTTGGTATTATTTCTGTTTTTTGTTTTAAATATTAAGAACAATTATGTTAACAACTGGCATAATAAAATCATTCTCAATTATCTAATGCTATCTTTTTAATTCTTAGTGGTGGTTTAATTTAAATTAATGTATATATGCTTAATTAACGGAACTCATTCTGTGTTTACCCAAATAATTAATGTCATGTTACGACATGAGTTGCTTGGGTAAACACAGAATGAGTGCTGTTCTCATTCTAAAGTCTTAATTCTGATTAGATTCAATTTATGAATTTTACCCTAAATCAAAAACCTTTTATTTTTGGGTTATTGCCAACATTTCTGGCTGTCTGTCTTGTATTTTTATTAATAGTAAAAGAAAATAAGGTAATTTAATCCTTTGAGTCAATCATTTCACCATTTATATATATATATATATATATATATATATATATATATATATATATATATATATATATATATATATATATATATATATATATATTGTATGGAATTAAAACGAAGTAGATATCTTCTAATTTTATCTTTGGGTGGTTCTTTTAGAGAGCGCCATCTACTGATCATCAGTTGACAGGTTTTAATTCAGCGAAGTAAGAGTTACTAAAAGAAGATTTCCAGATCATGTTTACAAAGTAAGTTTGTCGTTGAAATGGTCACCTATAATTGTAAAAAGTATTTATTGCCACAAATTTAGCTAACGTGGTTTGATAATATCCGAAAATAACGAGGAATTTCACTCACATTCCCGATTTAGATTGAGGTCACGACGAGTACTCGCGATGCAAACTGCGATTCACGTCT